CAAAAGTGAAACGATTGTTTACCACTTTCTCCATCCACTTAGCAATAGTGGAGAGGAGAACGATGGGCCTGTAAGATTTCAGAAGGGTGTAATCAGTCTTATTCGGTTTAGGAAGGAGGACGGAGACGGCACGACGGAAAGGCGCCGGCCAGACGCCGTGTGAAAAGATCGCGTTGAAGAGGCGGACAAAGCCGACGAGGATGGCCTCGTGGCCTTTAGTACGGGTGGCAAGGACCCACTTGAGGAATTTCCACGTGATGTGGTCCCAGCCGGGGGCAGACCGGGAGTTGGTGGCGTGGAGGGCATCGAGGAGCTCTTGGCGGGAGAAGGGCGGCCAGTCGCGGGCCGGGAGAGCCGGCATGGAATCGACAATGGTGAGGTCTACGGGCCGACCTTCCGCAGAATGGAAGGTCGGGCCGGCGTTGTCGCGTAGATCTTCGGGGGTGAGGATTGGGTTGCCTAGGGAGTCAACGATGTCAGCAGTGTCCGACCGCCGTGGTTTATACCAGGCCGTCAGGTCCCAGACCCGGGCATTGTTGGTGGCGACATCGTGGATGCGCTGTTCGAAGAAGGCGCGTTTGGCGTTACGGATGGCCTTGAAGTAGGAGCGGCGGGCTTCAAGTCGTTGAAGTTGTGAGATCTTGGGGAGGGCGGTGTTGGAGGGGGTGTCGCGATGCTGGAGGAAAGCGCGACGTCGTGCACGGGCGGTCTGAAGGGGTGGGGTGGTGCGTTTAAGGGTGGTGGAGAGGTGTCGCTGTGCTGCTTTGGTGACGTTGTTCCACCAGGGTTTGGAGCGGACACAGAGATTGCGGGGCTGGGCATGGGATTCCCAGGTGGAGGAAATAGAGTCGTAAAGTGCCTGTGTGTAGAGCTCGACGTCGGGGCCAGAGTCCGGGCGAGGTGTCGAGTTGAAGAAACCGACGAGGGTCTGGGCCAGGTCGGTGAGGAAGTCCTCGAGATTGTCATCGGAGATTGCCGGAGGTCCGAGAAGGGATATGGGATCAGTGGGCAGGGTGACGTATAAGAGGGCGTGATCGGAGAGGCCACGGGCCGCAGCACGGACCTGAACGGAGTCACGTGGGTGGTCTCGTGGACTCCAGACGAGGTCGATGACGGATCCCCGGAGTCGGGGGTTGTGGGGGAAGTGCGTGGGGACGTCGACCGGGGAGCGGAGGTCAAGGTCCCAGGCGCCTGTGAGGTGGGAGAGGGTGAGTAGGTCAGTACGCGGGGAGGAGGTTCCCCATGAGGGGTCCCAGTCGGGGCTGTGGAGATTGAAGTCGCCGCCGACGCAGCGAACTTGATCTGGGAGGCGGGGGAGAAGGGAGATAAGGTCAGTAAGGACAGCAGAGTGACCTCGAGGGTCATTGTAGACATTAAGTAGAAAGAGAGGAGGGTCAGAGGACCGTAGCTGGAGACCGAGGAGTATAGCGTCTCGGTGCCGGAGTGCCGGATGGCTGAATGCGCGAGTAAGCGGCAGTCGGGTGTTGACGTAGCAGACTACGCGAGGGGGGTTGTCGTGATCGGTCTTGGAGGGTTCGAAGAGGCGCCAGTGGGAGTCGGACTGGGTGCCGAAGTATCTGTGGTCGTTGGTCCGGTCGCCGGGCATGGCGACGTTGCGTTTACCACCGGGTGCGGGAATGTGTTTGAGGGGGCCATACCACGGTTCTTGGATGCATAGGACATCGACGTGGCGAGACAGCGAGGAAAGGAGGGAGGACATATGGGAGGGATTGCGGTTGGCATTGTGGAAGACAATGGTAAGGGAGTCGAGGGAGGTGTGTTCTCGAGTCATTTAGAAACCGGCCAGCCCATGCCCGGGCGGAGGGTTGACGGAGGGGAGCGAGGGCTGGGCTGGGGCGGGAGCCGGTGGGTGAGGAGCGGTGGCTATGAGGACATGGACACCGTATGGGTGGGCAGTGTTGCAGCGGCGGCAGTGGGAGACGGTCGGTGCACGCATGGGGGTGGCGCCAGGAGTAGGGCGAGGGCGTATGTGGTTGCCAAAGGGGTGGCGGCAGCCACATGCGCGGCAGAAGGGAGAGTTGTCCACAGCGCCTGGGCGGTGACGGCCGTAGAGGTGGGAGGTTCCGCACGCAGTGCACGGGATGGGGAGGCCCATTTGGCGGGCGACAGCGGGATTCTGGGAAGGACGATTAGCAGTGCGGGCAGCAGTCTTACGTACCGGGCAGGTGGGAGAGGTGGAGGTGTGGGCCCCGTTGCAGAGCGCACACTGGATGGAGGCGTCCGGAGCCGCACGGGCCGAGTGGTCAAAGGTGCGGTGAGGACCAGCGCACGTGGCGCACTTGGGAGGGGACCGGCAGGCGCTGGCGGGGTGGCCGAGGGCTTGGCAGTTGGTGCATGCGAGGATGCCGCGGCGCACTGGGCACGCGACAGCAATACGGGAACCAGCCCCGAGGTCGAAGACG